CGGACTTAGAACGAGTTGGGGTTCAACGAGCTCGGAGATCAACCACCCGAAAACCAGAACTAACAAACCATGAACTCCAAATTAAATCCTTCAGTGCTCAAAACCTCATAGTGCGCAAACCCCCAAAACCCCTTTCTTTGCACTCTAAAGCCTCTCAGGCCGCGACTTTCTCACAGACCGGTCGCTTTCGCAGTTTATCGGGCTCGCTGGGGGCCAAGATCGCCTGACCAGAAGCCGAAACTTTCCGGGTGCCTCGGCTTAGGAAACTGTTAAACTCTTCCCTCGACCTTTGCTACTCGGAAAAAGCAGAACAAAGATAACAGTTGGAGAAGCTTGGCATCACGAGCGTCACGCTGATAGAATGCAGGAAGCCTCGCAGCTCTTCGGCATGGAGTGGCCCTGCGTGCGAAGCAGGATCTGGGAAGTTTGTGCAGAGACTCTGTGTAGCACATGGGTGGTTGTCAAAATTATGGCCCCTTTTTGGGTACCCTAAATAATAGGTTCATAGGTGCCGTATTATAATAAGGACCCCAAGAGAGACCCCTCATTTTGACAACCACCCACATGGTCTGTAGAGTCAGAGAGTCATGCCAGGCCTTCGGTGCCGGAACGACATCCCTGCACAGGGGAGATCTCCGGATGCTTCTTTCGGGGCTGCGAAACCTGCTGCCCTTATCTACGGACTAAATCCCCAGCGCAGCGAGGCAGATGCATTCAGCAAGAACCGTATCAAACAAGCTTTCAATGGATTCAGGGCGTGGAGCACAAATCCCCGCTGGCACTGCAGTGAGAAATGCGTCCGCGAGTGCACAAGAGATTGCCCGTGCCTGAGGCCTCGCGCCGGCTTTTTATCTACAGTATACACACACAAACAAACCAACACGCATGTGCATATATATATATATATATATACACACATGGATATGTATGTATACATATTATGTGTATATGTATATATATATAGATACATATGCGAATAAGTATATGTGTGTGTGTGTGCGTGTTTGTTCGTGAATACACTATGGCACGTCATATTGCATATATACATATCATAAACGTACATACTCCTGTGAATATCTATATATACATATGTATATAGTCCTCAGTACATGGCATGTCAAAGTGTACGTTGCATATCTGCTGTCAACTTACTTTGCAGATTATCGTCGGGTGCGGTGTGTTTAGATACAATATCTCAGCCGAGTCACCTGCCAAGAGTACACTGTCACAAGGGCATGGTCTGTCAACGGGGGGGTGAGCATATACATATATATATATATATGTACATATGTGTGGGTGTGATGACCGTTGTGCCTCGAGAGGTCCCCGTTGCCATGCTCCGGCTCGTCTTCGCCTCGGTGGGAGATCAAGTAAATCAGTTTCATATCTAACATGATCACACTCTGTAACCAAAGCCTCTAAGTGTCGCTTCACCTACCCGAAGATCAAAAGCTGGAATGGAGACATACTGTCGTATCTTCTCATTGACAGAGCAACGTGAGCTACCCAAATAGACGAGCACTGTATCACGATGCTCCAGGTCTAGCCCGTTCTACATGGAGGATTGCGATTGTCTTGAACAGATGCTTTAGTCACATAGTCTTAACTACGACTCATCATCAGTATGATAAAGACAAGCAAAAGATTCCACGAGCTTGCACCGGCATGAATGACGGAAGACTGGCCTGTTCGAATATCAAGCTCCAACTATACCAGAACCCCGTCCCCATTACAATTGCAAGCCGCGGCCACCGAAACGAAACTCTCGGGAGGACACTCCTTTCTGTCACGAAATTATCAGAACTCAGCGCGAGTGGCTGAAACACTGTGCCAAATCCTCACTTTCGCCGGCCATGTTGGACTGTTCAGAGGACCTCCTGCAGATTCTTGTGTTCGTCGGGTCTGTGCCAAGACAGCCATGGCAATAGCAAAAAAAGGTAATCCAGCAGCAGAGGTAGCTGTAGCTGTGCCGGTGGCGGTGGAATGGTGGTGGTGGCGGTGGCGGTGGTGGTGGTGCTGCTACTGATGGTGGTGCTGGTGGCGGCGGGGCGTTGCTGGGTGGTGGTGGCGGTGGCAGCAGGCGGCGGGTGGTGGCAGCCCAGGAGGCATTGCGAGCAGCCACAGTTCCGTGTTCAGCGACGCTTCGAAAAAGACAGGTCTTGCTGCGCCTGAAAGCTTCGTGATTAGTGATGACGATGCACGCCGAGTAAAACCTAATGGGCCACAGCGCTGCAAGCTCAACATGTCAAAAGAAATACCGTACAAGGGGACCACGGGGTGGTGATCCTGTGTGTGCGTTTGACCGATTGAGCAGTTGCTTCGTCTGGCGAAAAGGCCGCACAAGAGATTCCAGGTTGCGCCCACGGTCGCGAATGTTGCGTTTATGTATGGCCCAAGGACCGGGAGAGGATGGAAGCTATCCATGTAATCCAATGGTCCGATGGGCTTGAATGAAGCCTGAATCGAAGCTCACCTTATCCGAAACGCTGAACCTCAACTCTTGAGTATGGAAGTTTTTGGCCCGCAGATGACCCACGGTCCTTGCAGAAAGAGATGCAGCTTTACACCTTGGATCATCATGGAGACTTCGCACTTCATGTCATCCATTAAGCTGACAGGCGAATCAAGTTTAGTTGCCGTGCGATACAAAGCCCTCGCTAAGGGTTTGGCATTAGGACCTTTTCCAACTGCGAAACTAATGTAGCAGTGGATGGTTGGCAAGTCATAAACGTGGCTCTGAACCCTAAGCCCTCAAATCCTGACTCCGGGACCTTGATCCCGAGTTCGTGAAGCTCTGAAGCCACCACAACTTGTCATGATGCTGCTAGCTCTGAGCATGCATTGGGGTGTGTGCATGTGCTGTGCGTGCACATGCAAAACAGATTACAGAATCGGCGCTGCAAATTCCACAATTAGCAAGCTTGAACAAAGACAGGTTGCACTCGGCCCTTGCTGCCAGAACGGGAACGAGAGCTCTCATGCGAAGCAGAACCAATCTGAGGCAGTCTTTCGGGGTGAAGAATAAGGTCCGGTAATGCGACGAGCCTGCTGATACGAACCCGCAGCCTCACTTTGACGTGCTGTTTCGATAAGCTAGGGCTATGGTCAATACACGGTGGCATAAACCAGTAGATGTTCAAGATTCGTGGTTTTATCGTACTGCCAGAGGGTCACGCCGAGCCCTGTCTCGATGCAGTAACAGCTTTGCACTGGGCAACGACAAGAACATTGCAAAAAACACTGCTAGTACGAGTATGCCTGCTACTGCCACTACAATTACCTGCAGTTCTTGCTGTTGTTCCTCCCGCCAACCGAGTGGTGCTAGTGGTAGTGGTAGTGGTAGCAGTCGTAGTAGTAGTGGTAGTAGTAGTAGTAGTAGTAGTAGCAGCAGTAGTAGTAGCGTAGTAGTAGCAGTCGTCGTCTTGTTGTCGTCGTCGCCGCCGCCGTGGTGGTGGTGGTGGTGGTGGTAGTAAAGGTAACAGTAGGAGTAGTGGTAGTAGCAGCAGCAGCGGCAGCGGTAGTAGCTGTAGTAGCAATAGCAGCAGCAGTAGCAGTAGCAGTAGCAGTAGCAGTAGCAGTAGCAGTAGCAGTAGCAGTAGCAGTAGGTAGTAGTAGTAGTAGTAGTAGTAGTAGTAGTAGTAGTAGTAGTAGTAGTAGTAGTAGTAGTAGTAGTAGTACTAGTAGTAGTAGTCCTAGTCGTAGCAATAGTAGAAGTAGTGGTAGTAGCAGTAGCACAGTAGTGCGAGAAGTCGTCGTCGAAGCAGTAGGTAGTAGCAGCTGTAGTAGTACTAATAGTGCCAGTTTGTTTGTGGAACTAGTACTAGTAGCCTAGTAGCACAAGCGTTACTACTGTAGTTGTTGTTGTTGCTGCAGTAGCAGCAGCAGCAGTAGCAGCAGCAGTAGTAGCAGTAGTAGCACTAGCAGCAGCAGTCGCCTTAGCAGTAGCAGAAGAGTAGCAGGAGCAGTAGCAGTAGCAGAAGAGTAGCAGGAGCAGGGAGCAAGAGCAGGAGCACGAACAAGAGCAACAGCAGCAGCAGGAGTAGTAGTAGTAGTAGTAGTACTGCTACTACTACTACTACTAGTACCAGTACTAGTACTAGTACTAGTAGTACTTGTAGGAGTAGCAGCAGCAGAATTAACAGTAGTAGTAGTAGCAGTAGTTGTAGTAGCAGCAGCAGCAGTAGTAGTAGTAGTAGTACTAGTACTAGTACTAGTACTAGTACTAGTACTAGTACTAGTACTAGTACTAGTACTAGTACTAGTACTAGTACTAGTAGTAGTAGTAGTGGTAGTGGTAGTGGTAGTGGTAGTGGTAGTGGTAGTGGTAGTAGTAGTAGTAGGCTAGCAGCAGCAGTAGTAGTAATTAGTAGTAGTAGTAGTAGCAGTAGTAGTAGTAGCAGCAGCAGTGGTGGTGGTGTTGGTGGTGGTGGTGGTAGCAGTAGTGGTAGACATACACACACGTACATACCCACACTTGCATTTTCTTCTAAACTTAGATATTGCAAGAAGATGTGCCCGTGCAGCCGTATAGCTACAAACGAAGATATGCAACACCATGTAGTGCGAACAAAAACACTGGTGATGCAGTATACAAAAAGTATACGAAGCTTCAACAGGTTGCATTGTTTTTGCTTGACCCAGAACCCTACTTCCAGCTGAGACCTCGATAGCACGTGGCCAGAACTATGCTGCGTCCGCAGTCGCCGACACCGGCTCAATCTGTTACAAAACCGCGCCTTGGACTTCGTAGAAGCCTCGCCATCGATGAAGTCAGCCTAGCGCTGCGCTTCAGGCAACAACAACATGCAACGCAAACGATGTTGGCAAATTTCTCCTGCAACACTAAACCTAACTTTCCTGCAAACTATGTCGTCTGGCCCTTTAGCCCAAACCAGAACCCACTGAGTGGCCATAGCTCTCCATCACAACATCAAACATCTTGAGGCCCCACACACCTGACTCACGTAAATGCAACCATGTATACCAAACCCAACTAAACTCTAGCTGCCAGCTATAACAGTACAACTCATAGTTGTGATCGTGGGAATACACAGCACCCCTTCGCAGAGCACAGCGAAAGCCTCAAAGCTTCCTTCAGCTCCCTCACTGTCCTTGACCGGGCATTGATGCTGTTCGGGTTCAGGGTTTCGGGCTCCCGGTCTGGGAGTTTGGGCTTCATAGCTGGGACGGTTCAGAGTTCGGGTTTTGGGGGTCTGGGGCTGCGGCACAAAATCACTACCGGAACCCTCTCAGAGAGCCGCAGAATGCCGTAGAGTGCACCTCGAAACCCACGACCCTGCCTCATGAGTCTGAGCTACCCCGTATCCCCGCAGTCGGCGTCCCCCCGTGTCCTTGTGGCAGAGCTCAGAGGACATGAAGAATTCGTCGATCTGCATACCCGGGTCCATGTCCTGCAGGGGAGGGCTTTACTGCTTGCTCGTACGACAGACTACGACTCATGCTGCCTGCGTTCACACGAGTCTGAATCTGCAGGGTGAAAGGTGTAGGAGTTCCTTTTGCAGCTAGGCCTCCTGAGGTGTTGCCGGGTTTACCGTGCGAGTCGCATCGAAGGACGAACAGTTCCTGGAGCCCTAAACCCCTGGCCCTAGCTGCCCAAGACGCCATGCCAGGCTGAACACGAAGCCATAAAGAGTCTCAAAAGCACCACCGCACACGATTTGCAGCCAAGAACTCAAAGCCTTTGTCGGATAGCTCTGCAGACCACAACCCGTAGACGACTCTCTAAAGACTCTAAAGCCGAACCCCCTACCACGATCCTATGCCCTTAACAGCCCTTCAAAAACCCGCCCCCGCACTCCACCCTGGAAGCACGCAACACCAGCCAACCTCCAGTGCGTCCACCTCAAGTTCCTCTTCTGCTGGGGCCTTTCTCGGGAACTAGCTTGGAGCGTTCCGCCTATCCCAACTATTGAGATGGGCCTGTTGGCGCAACGACGGGATCTTTGCTTTTCTGGGCTTCTGCAGTCGGCTGGGTCCCGAAGCCGGCCGTTCCCATGCTTCAAACTCTGCTTCCAAAGCGCTGAAGTTCCCTGGAGGCAGCCCTACGACCCGAAGCTCCGCCCCCCGGACCCTGAACCCCTAAGAAACCCTTGGAACCCCAAATCCTCAAGCCCGTAACTGAATACCCCGTGTTTGAAAGCTCCCAGAACTCCAAAGGCATGGCGGGCCTTGATATTCGGCTCGGTTCCTCCTTAGGCAGCTCACAACTTCGGAACTCCAGGTTTTTGTGAGAGCATAGAACATAGCTGAAGGGCGGCGGTGATCATGCTCCCGAGTTGCAAGCACAGACTTCAAGGGCTTAAACCAGCCATCAAAGTGAACTCTGTCTCCAAACAAAAGGGTACGAATCATGACGGATCCTGTCCACATCAGCATATCACGACGGTGACGGCAAGAGATGACGTCGGCACAGGTACAGCGACGAAAATACACAAGCTTCTCGCAGGCATTGCGAAACACTCTCGTCATAGTCGTCATCATCATCATCATCATCATCACAAACAACAACGACAACGACAACCACGACAGCGAGCACATCACCCCTCTGCTCCTCATCATACCATACGCGAGGATCCTCAAATCGCGGTCGACTAGCGACTTCTCAATTTGGCCTTTGAGGACACCACCTCAGCCATGGCTGGGTGATGCTCGACGAAAACTTGACTAGTGGCTACTGGAAACGCACTGCGGATCTGACGCGCGCTTTGTTGGCGGCGAAGCTGGCAAGGATGTGGGGGGTGGGGGACACAGGCCCCGAAAGTGACAAAGTGGGCACGTGAGAGCAGTTGCCCGGGTGGGAAGGCAGGGCGTTGTGCTCATGCCTTCCCTGGAAAAAACAGCCGGCGTGACATGTGCTTTGCACCATCGCCCGGTTGGACGCTGTGGCGCGGCCGCATGCTGCAAGCATGGAGCGAATAGCACAGAAGAGATCCACAGCTGGCAAGTGAAAAGATGCCTCAATTCAGTAAGTAAGGGATATAATAGGTTGTTTTGACACTCACACTCGGACAAGCCTGGCAAGGTCTGCAGAAGTAGGTTCGACGACACTCGTTAACACTGTCAGAAGGATCTAATAGGGTTTCGGCGCTCACGCTCGGACATTAATAGGGTTTTTTTTGACACTCACTCTCGGACAAGCCTGAGGGTTTAGGGCTAAGGGATTTAAGTTAAGTTGCCGTAAGAAGGAGTGCTCTTAGACACAGCACAACCAACTTCAATAACCCCATCCGGGAAATGAAACCATCAGATAACATACACAAGCCAGACTGTCTCTCCAGTACTGTGCTCGCCAAATTCACGAATTACTCTCTCGCAGTCCTGCGGATCCATGGTGCTCAAGTACTGCTGTGCACTTCTGTCTTCCTCCTGAGGGATGCGCAGAACATGGCGAGAGAATCAGAGTCCTGCAAAATCGACACAGGGCTTACGAGTCCCTGAGTAGTGTGCGATCTTGAGTCGCGAAAGGAGGACTTCTGTTGACGTGCCTGCACTGTGGGTCGTTGCGCCAGCAGGCGTCGCAGTTTTGCGTGGCCGGAAGTGCGGAGCGCTTCTGGCAGCAAGAAGGCCCACAGACCGAATTAAAGGAAAACCTTGCTGGGAAACTCCACTGGGCTCGAGGACGGAAGCTTGCCCTCTACCTGGCAGGTCTAAAACCCAATATATATATATATATATATATATATATACCTATACAACTTCAAAAAATGTTTTTCATGCTGAACTTCATCGCTGAAAGGTCGCCCCGAAGCATCCCAACCTTGACATTTCACCTCGGGTCGTCACATTATGGCATCACTGCAGTGCCCTCCGCGGTGTGCCGGCGCAGAAACATGGCCAGCCAACAGCTATAGCCCAGCCCAAGGCAGAGGTGGAAGAGCATGAAGCCCGCCATCATCAGGGACAGAGCGATTGCCACGGTCTCTACGCAATCCATCTGAAACACCCATTCACCAAGCCCGTAGTTAACCACCAGCCACAGGGGCAACAAGGAACGGCGACTCCACAGGCGAATCTCTCTGGCGCACTGCCTCTGGCACTCCTCGCCGTCCTTGCCTGTCTCAGGCTCCGCCTTTGGGGCGATGCAGCAGCACCGCCGCCGCTGGCTCTTCACAGCCTTTCCACGTGTTCCCCATTTGGCTCCCAATCCATCCGCATTGGCCACGGCCACAATCGGCTGCTGCAGATTCTCGATGAAGGTGGTAAGAGGCACGATGAATATCAGCAGTCCTGCCCACATTCGTCGCATGCCATGCGGTGCCTGCGCTGCCATCATCAGCATGCAAACGCCGAGGGTCGAGGCCCAGAAGAGGGGATTCTTCCAAGCACCGTAGCCCACCAGGAGCACTGCCATCTGCAAAGCTCCCAACAGCATGAAGAAGATCGTGCCTGCAGTGTGGAGCCACCGGCGCTGGGCCACAGAGCATCCGGCCGAGGCAAAGGCGTAGAGCATCAGCACGACCCACAAGAGGAAGTGGATACAGGCGTGAATGCTCTGGTGGCCTGTGGACACAAAGAAGCTCCAAGAGAAGGAAGAACAGTCCATCTCTAGCTGGAAAAAGCGTTCGAGAAAGCGGCCGGTCAGAAAGGAGAACCACAACGTCAGCGTCGCCGGGGCCAGGAAAGGCGTCCAAAGGAAGGAGGCGACGTAGATGGGCCAAAATACCCATCGAGTCGGCTGCCAAAGCCAGGCTCTAGGCTTGTTGAAAAGCATGGTCAAACGATTTCCCATGTGCGAGCGCTTCCACCGGCACTGTTGCGCAAGGTACTCATTCCATGTCTCCGGCATGAAGGATGTGGCCCAACAGTGGGGCAAGAACCGAATTCCGCCACCATTTTGATACTTCTCATGGACGAGATTTGTCATGAAGCTGTCTTCTCCCATTTCAATCATCATGGAGTCGAGAACCGAGTGCTCGTAAACTCCCCGGCAGAAGTCTGCTTGAACAGCTCGCACGGTCTCCATGGCATACATGGCACAGGAGCCATTTAGCGGGAGTTGGAAACGAACGGCGCTCTGGCCGAGCCACAGCATCCGCTGCGAGAACCAGTCCCTCATCAGCTGCACCAAGAGGCAGAGATTGTGGGTCTTCTTGGTGAGGAGGAAAGGGCCACAGGCTGCCAAGCACTGATCTTGCATGCAACTGTACATTTTTCCCACATGGGCCGGCTCAACGCGACAATCGCCATCCAGCAGGAGGAGAGCTTTCGGGTTGGCCCGTCCGGCATTGTGGTCGGCCTCAAGGATGGACATGCACAACGCCTGAGATGCCCGCTTGGATCGCGGACAATCCTTGCCCTTCACGTAGATCTCGAAAGGATACGGGACTGGTGCCTCCTTCATGCCGCGGATGCGCACGCAGCCATGATTCAGCTCCACCTTGCCCGCAGGGAGGATGGAGGTAAGCGATGCCAAGATCTCCAAGTCCTCTAAGGTCTGGACCTCGTCGAGCTTGTGCTTCTCTTGGCTTTCCACATCTGAGCCCTGTCTCGCCTTGTGAAACCAGTCCAGTACCTCCTCCTGTTCAACCTGCTGAAGCCCGTCCACGAAAATCATCAGCCGTGCCGACGAGCCGGACTCTACCCAATCCAATGTGCTGATGCTATGCTGCAGCTCCTCCTTCGTCTCATTGTAACAGCTCAGGACCACAAGCACATCCTCCTTGCGTTCGGGGTCGTCGTTGATTTCCAGGGACGTGGTAGTCATCAAGTTGGGTGAGCTATGCGGCTTGTAGTGCCGGTAGAGTAAGAGAAGCTTCACGATGCCGATGCATGCAACTGCCACTGCCAAGTCGACTAGGGCAGGCTGTAGCCCAAAACGCCACCACCCGTCGCATGAGGGCAGTGTCCCGGTTGCACTTGTAAACATCCTTGCTACGAGCCACCGGTGTGTCGTGACAACTGAGAGGCGAAAAGCCAACAAGGCTTGAGTCAAAACTGCGGTTGACGCCAGGCCATGATTTTGATTCAGGGTTTCATCAGCTGAGGTGCCGCAGCAGAAGCACCGTGATGTACTGCTCTTGTCAGTGCCACCCCTCTGGCATTAACACTTCGAGTTTGCGAAATGTCAGTCTGCAGCAGCACTAGCCACCAGGGGCAAAAGGAAATGTAATTGCCCGGTCCCGCATCCACAGAATGCCACACCCTGTGCCCGAGGCCCACAGTGCCAACCCTGAAGTCAGAAATTCTGCCGGAAGCCGCAATCACCAGACCTCGAACCCAGCCTTGAAACCCCGGAGTCTGCAAGGGCCCCGGGCTGCGTTCGACCGGAAGTGCTCCTGGGCACTATTGCTCCTTTCTTTCATTAACTTAGTGGTCGAGCACAAGGTTCCGCAATCTCAACTAACACAAAGATAGCAAGAAGGTCAGCGGTGGTGGCAGCCGAAACAACCGGCAGCAGGAAAAAGACCACAAGCAAACGAGACCAAAAGCCATCACCACGGAGATAAGTGAAGATGATGGTAACCATGATGACACGAGACAAATAAGAAGTTCGAAGGCAAGATCCGAATCTGGTCTTCCGGGTCTCTTCGGTGAGGCCGCACAGCTCCGCAAGCCCTCACACTGGACTAGGCAACCGAAGATGTTGGGCCTATAAGTTTGCACCCTGCTTGACACCTACTGGTAGTATGCAAAAAATGGTCTCAATACTATACCTAGAAAACAGGCAGCCCTCAAGATTAAGCAAAAATTTTTGCAGCCAGCTCTAGCTTCCAAAATCGGCTCTGGCCGTGGTGATGCTATGAAGTGTTTCACTGTCCACCTTACTAAATGAATGTCCCATGGTGGCAGACACTTGGAACTGCCAAAAATGAAAGCAGCCGTGTAAACGTGAACATGAACACACGCACACACACACACACAGACACCACACACTCACACACATATGCCGCAAAGGAATGCACTGATCCGAAGATGTCTCTCCTGCCACTGATCATCGCGAATATCATTCGGCAACGACACCATGCACGTGACCAGTACCATCTTCTTCTTCCTCCCATCATCACCACCAACACCAATACCATCATGATCATCATCATCAATAGGGCAATAGCCACCATCATCGACACAACCATGCCACAGCATTAGATTTTCCCTGTTGTCGCTGTTCGTCTTCCACGGCATCCCGCTTTTCGCCGCCGCAGTCAAGGACATCACTCTTCTCACAGCCACCACAATGGAAGCACGACCATCATCAGCTGCAGGTGATGCAAAAAGTGCAACACCGCAAGTCCGCAAGTCTTCATCATGACTTGCTTCATCATCACCACCAGCACCACCTCACCACCACATCTTTGTTAACACAGCGGACACGAAGTCAGAACAAACCCTCAAAGGCTTGGGGCTCCGACCTTCTAAATCTTCAACGGAAGGAGGGTCTACCTCCTGCTTTCGGCGTGAGGGCTCTGGGTTGTCAGACTTTTGGGGTTTTGAATGTACGTGACATCGTGCAACAATGTAAGGCTTGGCAGCGTGCTGTGGTGATGCTGATAGAGAACAAGCAACTCAGGCTTGACGGGGGCAGCTTATTTGCATGTGAAGGTTTATCGAGGCTCTCGCGCATGGAGAGCCTTCGATCCACTTCGGTGCTCATCTTCATTTCTGGACGGTCCTGTCCTGCTTGACCCTTGGAACCAACACTTTGAAAGTACGGGCAAAGCACACATGTTGCGAGTTCGTAAGGCTGTAAGGGATTAGCGGATTAGCTGCATCAATCCAGTCCGAGTGCCGACGAGCGGTGATGGACTCTGCTGCTGTGGTGATCCCGAGAAAAGCGAAATCTTCAGACTGCCGTTCTTGCACACGCAGACAGAACCTGACAAAGCTAAAGATGGCGTTGTGCGTGACGGGAAAGCATGTGATGCAACGGCACAAGGTGTACAGTAGACTAGGGTCTCTTGTTGTCTGAAACTCTCGAGTCCCGAAGCCCCTTCAGCCCGGGAAGCAGGAATGGGCCTCGGATCGACCTCAGCAGGTTTTAGATGTGAAACTGTTGGGAAATGCTGTTTACAAGACCTTTTGGGTGGGAATACAAGGCGTTCAGTAGAGTTGTGCACGGGCATCGGGCTAATGCGGCTTCCTAACAGACGTATTTCTGACACATGGCCTCCATAAGCCACTGCTTCTGTTGTCCGATTCCGCTTCCGAGTGCTAAACGCCTTCCAAAGCCCTTTTCGGACGCGAAAGCCACGAGCCGTGCGGGTCTGGGCGCTCGAGCTCGTGGAAGCTCAAGACTTGGGATGTGCTCATTGAGAACACTCAATTAACAGTCTACCATATTGCTATAACTATATTGTGTCCCTCTGGCCCTGCCAAAGCCGCGAGGTAAAGACTAGGCAATGTCAGACCATATTATATTGTACCATCTTATACTATCTTATATTGCACTATGTTCCAAAATGAGCCGTGGCCCCGACTAGAAGCAGCAATGCTCGTTGACGAACGACAATGTCCCGGACATCGAACCCGCAACCCAGTCTCCGAAGCCTTGTTCGAAGCATCTCAGATCTTTTTTAGCGGCCCGGGCACTGAAGCCTGGGATGCAAAAGTCCTCGCCGCGACCAGCACGACCTCACAACTTTCAGCTTCGGGTTTGGGTGTTCCGAGCTTTCGGGGTTCTCAGGGCTTTGGATCTAAGGTTTCGTTCGGGGCTTAGGGTTGCGAGGGTTCAGGGCTTTTTGGGTTCATGGACTTCGGTCTGTTTTGGGGCTCAGCTCGGCACACTCGTACTCTGTCAGCTCCGGGCATTCTGCGGGGTATTTACTCCTCGGTCGTAAATGAAAGGCCGCACGTGTCCGAGACCCCCCTAGGAGACCCGTAACGGCCGAAGACGCGAAGAGATTGGGCTCCAGGCTCCGACGGTGTTTCTTCTCCTTCGACGAGCGCCTCTTGGGCTGCTCCTCCTTCGATGTCATTTCGGCTCTCAGGCTCAGTCTGACATCGCAAACTTTGGCCCTCTAACCTGTAACGCTGGGGATGTTTTTGAACCACTCATGCTCCTTGGGAGATCTGATAGATGTCTGGGTTTTGGGGTTTTGGGGCTTCGGTTTCAAGGGTCAGGTTGAGCACCTCGGGCGTTTGAGGCTTTAGAGTGGTTCACACTGTAGGGGGGCCCCGAGCACAGTTGGAAAATGCAGGAGGTGGCCCATGCACGATCACGGCTCAACCCGCGGTCAGCCCTTCAGCTTAAACCTCAACACTGCATCACCAAACACACGGGAAAAGTTGAGAGACACCTTGGTAACCTTCTTTGGACCTTTACCTCTCAATGCCAAAAGCCTTCGCTCAAAAAAAAAACCTGCAAGACCGTGGCTTGTGGACCAATCTCTACGGTATGCCTGGTGCTCGCGAGCGGCTGCGAACGTCATGCTTGAAACTTATGTCCAAACTGCGACCAAGCATTTGTAAATGATGGTCGCCACCATCACCCACGAACAAAGATGTGAGACTGCAACTGGCTTCAAGATCCACAAAGCACCCAGCACTCCTAATGCCCAAGTCAGTGAGGTGCTCCACCACAAGATTGCGGCTGTGAGGATCATGTACGAAACAAACAGAACATGGGTTTTGACGCCGGCATGCGCCAGTGGTTGTCCATGCGCTGCGATGCTCCAAGTCGCCCTGTCACTTGCGGCCCACCACTCTGGTGGAACTTCCTCTTCTGCACTTGCGGCATCAGAATGCGTCACAATGCGCCCCGTCTCCATGTGCAACGCTGCCACTGCAATTCTCTGGTTATCCTTGATGAGCCGGTATTCGCACATCGGCGACGGCCCGAGTGGGCCGCCTGGAAACGGGTTGAGCATTGTCTGGTTGATGTTCTTGAACCCTGCAGTTTTGACCGCATCTATGACATTCGCGCTGAGATGCGACTTTTTGCCGGTTGAATCGATATTCAACGTGCTATTTCTATCACTCCATTCGTGGCCACCGACAATGTGCACTTCTACGTCACTTGGAGATACCTCAGCAAAGCATGTTCGGAGCGCGAGAACCAGCTCATGCAGCACATGCTTTGATGGGTTTCTGTAAAAGCAGACACCCATAGCGTTTTGAAGGCATACATGCGCGCCAAAACCCTTTGGACCATGTGGGCCTTTCTTCGTCCATGCAAACACGACAACACAACATAGCACCGCAGCGGTCGAGAGGAACTCTTGATCGTGGCTCGATTCCAGAAACTGTCCCATGCAAAATAAAGCCTTTGAAGCATACAGGCTCTCACGAAGCCTTGGGGTGAACCGGGTAGGCTTCGATCGCGAAAGTTTCAGCGACGCACGGTAGTTCTCTTCAACATCCTTTCGAAGAAGCGCTTCTTCGTCGAGCTTACCAGCCGGAGCCATTGCGTGGCAAAGCGCAGCGGGAGCTGATATGTGCTCTCCTCAAGTTGAACACTTGAGAACACGGGCCAAGCACGAGCAACGTAGAAACACACTGTAAAGATCTGCAAAGCTTTGTCGTCTCCTGCTGTTTGCAGCCAGCTTGGGCAATTGCAAGTTTGCATTCTTGAAACCCCTTCCTCTGAAAAAAGTTGATGTTCACAGCTTATCACATGGTGTACTGTCGGGCTTCGCAGTTCGTCTCAATCCTAGCCAGAAAAACCTGTCAGTCAAAGGATGCCTTTTCGAAACCTGAGCTACAGTTCCGCAACTATCACCACGGAACAAGAAACCCTTCTTGCTACAAGTCTAGCCAGACAACGACCTGCCATCATCGTGACTGAGGCAAGAAACCCTAAACCTGGAACAATTGCCTAGTCTGCGCAGTACTTCCTTCTTACGGTCCGCGAAACCGCCCTGACCAAGATCTTCTCCTCGATCGGATGCATGCAGCCACCGCTTAGCGGCGTCGCCAAGGCCTCGGCACGAGTAAGAACGTACGACTTACAAATTCGAGTACTGGCGAGGAGGAGGAGGAGGAGGAGGAGGAGAGGGAGGGGAAGGGCGGCACGAGCAGTAGTAGCAGCAGAAGAAGCAGCTGCAGAAGCAGCAGCAGAAGCAGCAGCAGTAACAGCAGCAGCAGCAGTAGCAGTAGCAGTAGCTGTAGCAGCAGCAGCAGCGGCAGCAGTAGCAGTAGCAGTAGCAGCAGGAGCAGGAGCAAGAGCAGTAGCAGGAGAAGCGGCAGCAACAGTAGCAGCAGCAGTAGCAGCAGCAGTAGCAGCAGTAGTGGCAGCAGCAGCCGCAGCAGCAGCAGCAGTGGCAGCACCAGTAGCAGTAGTAGTCGGGCATTAGTTAGCTGTACTAGCACTAGCAATAGGAATACTAGGAGTAGCAACGGCTGTAATAGTAGTAGTAGTAGTAGTAGTAGTAGTAGTAGTAGGAGTAGTAGTAGTAGTAGTAGTAGTGGTAGTAGTGGTAGTAGTGGTAGTGGTAGTAGCAGTAGCACTAGCAGTAGCAGTGGTTTTAGTAGTAGTAGTAGTAGTAGTAGTAATAGGAGTAGGAGTAGGAGTAGGAGTAGGAGTAGGAGTCGTCGTCGTGGTGGTGGTGGTAGTAGTAGTAGTAGTAAGATTGTTGTTGTTGTGATAACTCCTTATGACCAAAAAAGAACTGAAGTATTGCGAGTAGTAGTAGTCGTCGTCGTCGTAGTAGTAGTAGTGGTAGTAGTAGCAGTAGTAGTAGTAGTAGTAGTAGTAATAGTAATAGTAATAGTAGAGTAGTGGTAGTAGAAGTAGTAGTAGTAGTAGTAGTAGAAGTAGAAGTAGAAGTAGGAGTAGGAGTAGGAGTAGGAGTAGGAGTAGGAGTAGGAGGAGTAGTAGTCGTCGCCGTAGTAGTCGTAGTAGTCCTAGTAGTCTCCGTATTCATAGCCGTAGTAGTCGTAGTAGTAGTAGTAATAGTGGTAGCGGCAGCAGCAGTAGTAGCGGTAGTAGAGTAGCAGAGCAGTAGCAGCGGTACCAGTATCAGCACCACGACCAGTACCAGTACTAGTCCTAATACTAGGCACTGTTACTAAAGTACTAGAAGAGAAGTGGAAGCAGAAGTAGTGGTAGGAGTAGGGCAGGAGTACGAGAAACATAAGGGTAGGGGCAGGAGCAAGAACTCGCCGGCGATAGTCGTCGTAGCACTCGCAATGTTAGGCCCCGGCCGCTCGAGGGGAGCGCTCCTGCTGCTGCGGGCGAGGCTCTGCACGCGCTTGCCTTAGAGACGAAGGAAGGGCAGGGAGACCCAAGTTTCCCCTGCGCTGTCCAAGATCTGAGTAACAGACCAATGTTTCAGCGAATAAGGCGACGTGAGCTTTGGGGATTGTATCGTGCTCTACGCTTCTGACATTCGCACTTGGACAACTTCTCGACGTTGCAATATGTCCACGTGTGCTTCTTGAAGCTTCCGGAATAAAATCATTTCTAGATGTCCGCGTTCATTCTGGGAGGGGCTGGCTGGCCGTCCAGACAATCGTTCAGCGACGGGGAGAAGCAGCTGCCGGAGCAGCTGCAGACTAGACTCTGCAAAAAAAACTAAGCCCCTTCAAACCTAAACTCCCGACACCCCTAGTACCATTCACCCCAAACTACCAACTGTCAATCCAAAGCCTGAACGAGGGATGGGTGAATCTCGACAGCACCTCGGCTCGAAATTTAGCCTTGTGGCTGTGCTTCTTGCGCCTTCGTGGGCAGGAGTGGACTGCGAGGTTCTTGAGAATCGTCGCGGCCCCTCGGGAGCAAGGTGTTACGGGAAGACGCTCGAGGGTGTCCATGTTGCTGTAGCGTTACTGTGAACAGTCCTTCTCTTGCTCTAACCATGTCGAGAACAGCCCTGGTGGCATTGTTGAATTGAATCGTGCTGCAATTCTTGCAATTAACGTGGGATTTACAGTGGCTCGCGATGAGAACTGCTGATGCTCATGGCATACAACTTAATGCTGGTGCTACTCGGCCATCTGGTGCTACCTGGCAATCAAGAAACTGTACTGCTGAATTGCTGCTGTCGATATGATTTGGTACGACGATCAAGGTGGGGAAACCTTCGTCAACCCAGCAACAGGAAAGGGCCTCTCCGTCAAACTGCAGCTGCATTCCTGGACACATTGAACCGGGCGCCCGGCTGAACCTTCGACTGAAACATGGAGTTGGCAGCTGCGGTGCGTGCACACTCCAGTGCCTGAACGCAGCTCGGGTGCGATGGGAGGCAAAACTCAATGACAAATCAAAGTTGCCAACGAAGGGGCTTTCTCAAGGAAGCACTCGAACCGGCATGTCCGAAAAGGTACGTGCAGTGGTCGCTTACAGGCCCACACCAGACTTCAATTGAGACTTCACGCATTTCTTCTCTCACGTTCACAGAGGCAGATAAGGCTTGGCGACAACTGGTGCCATAAGTACGTCTGAATAGAAGAGCAGCCCTTCAAGGTCACGTGTTCAATCCATTGCTTGTGTGCCAAGCTTTGTTAAGTCATTCATTCGTTCTTCGGTTTTTATGACTATGGAGAGTTCTTAACCTCCAAAGGAAGGTATACATCCAGCTGGGTACACGTGTGTCGGTCTGTTCATCTCTATTTACGCATACTCACACACTGCTTGGACCTATCAATTGGGCCTGTACATGTACTGCTCTGTTACAATCTTCTACTCCTTGCTCCGTTAGGATTGCAGGGATGGCTGGCACATGTAAGCCGATGCAAGCAAGGCATATGGACTTCAACTCTGAAGCATAGGAAAACCCTGGCCAACGATGTGGCCTGACTTTATGCTCGAGCATGCTAGATAGACTAAAATTCAAAAGAAGTACCAGACCGCTTCAGGCGGCAGCCCATCACCAAGCGAAATCTCAAACTGCGCCGCGGGTGAAGCGGCCAATCCCCTATATGGCCTAATCATATGCGAAGACAGCTTTCTTCAGGATCTCAGCCACGGCACCCTCTTGAACTGAAGCCGCTGCTCCGGAACGCAGATCGCTGAATGGTGCGCTTCCTCGCAGCTGACCCCATCAATCCCGATGCCCGAACCTGCCACCCGAAGCCGTGATGGAACCTGACAAGTAGCATGAAGGGTGTGCCATCGAGAACCGTAAACCTCCCCAAGTGCATGTCAGCCCCGCCGCACTCCAACCCGAAGCAGCCAACTCAAGCAGCTCAGTTGCTGCTTGAGCTTGTCGCGGTTTGTGTCTATTTCGACTCGCACACTCGCACAATGGACCTGGGAGCTAGGGCCCCGTAGTGAGACACGCAACCTGATTTCAAGTCCCCTGTAGCACCATGTTCGAACCCTGACCACGCAGGCCGTCCTCCACGATCTCGCCTAAGAGCTTAAGGAACTTCATTTGCCTTAGCTCCCAGCACTCGCACTCTGAGTGACCGAAAGCATAGTTAGACAGAGACGGTAGCGACAGCCGAACTGCTAGGATTTCTGGAATATCACACGAAGGTGGGCTGGTGAGTGTGGTGGGGGCCCTAACGCTATTAGCCCTCAGCGTGCTGGATGTGTAAGAGTTCGCAACTGGACTGGTCAACATGAAACAAGGTTGAAGGGCGGGTGCATGCATGTTTTGCGTCTGCACCCGATGTGCAGTCCAATATGATCTCACCGCCGAATACACAACGACATAAAATATTTTATGACATATAGAATGCATCATAATATTGTGAATCATTCATCAACTTAGTACAATGCAACATACTATAACCCAATATGGTACAACATAAGAGAAAACAACATAAACGCACTAAGCATAGCAAAATGCAACATAACAGAAGTGTTCGACCTCGCTGTCATATAGCATAACGTAGCACATATCAGAACAGCAGGCTGTCAGCAGCAGGCTCAACGCCCACTTTTTGCCGCCGTTGCAGCACATACACTGGTGTAATTCTAACAACTTATGACTGCCACTGATGGGGTGATGTTCCTGTGACTGATATTGTTGCTACCATTACTACCACGACTAGTATCACAAGTCTACACTGGAATTGCTCCAATTATGTCTCCCATAAGAGTTTGTACTACGATTAAAGTTAGTACGTCCAAATTTGTACTGCTGAAGTGACACTCTGCCATCCCCTGTAGCTGTAAGCAGTCTTGTTCCTACCACCACCTTTAGAACATTACTACCGATACCATACCGTAAGAATTCCGGTCCTCAAGCGATTATGCAAGCTAAGGCTTGGAAGGCAAGGATGGGTTCGTGGCGCAGAAGTAGCCCTTTGCGCTGTGCGTGCTTTGGTCGGGAGAGTGCTTTGGTGTGACCTGTAGCTTGCAACAGAGCCAAGCGACAGCGGCGGGGTCGGAATGGTCAAGGGGAGCATAATGGCGTGCAGCATCGGTGCCTGCAGATGCCCGGTGACGCTTGAAGGACTCTCTCTTCATCGACTGAACCTGACGATTAAATCACAACGATTAAATCACAACTAACCC